TAATACTTCCATTTCACCTCATTTTGGAGAATAAACTAAACCACAATTTAAAACAATATAATTTGTCCCCTGCTTTTGTATCTAATAATAAAATTAGTAACTTTTTAATTAATAATAAAGCCAAACATAAAAAAGAGGAATCAAGTGGCGTCTATCAGATCGAATGTCCTGAATGCAATAAAATATATACAGGCCAGACGGGAAGAAATATATACACTCACTTCAAAGAACATTTGTCCAGTTCAAGACCCGCCGTTCATAAACACATACAAGACTAAAAAAAATACAATTTGAAAATCATGTAACCTTGTCAATCGTACAACTATTTTATGTTCATTTCCATGCGGTTAAACTAAAAAGTTTTTAGTTGAATTTTACAATTTTAACTTCGTCTGATTTAATTTTTAAGATCTTTGTTTAGTGATATTTTTTATTTAATTAATCCCAAGTAAGTTGTATTTTAATTCTATTAACATAACAACAAAGAATTGTAACCATGTAATCTTTTCCAGAATTTTAATTTGTTTCTTTGTCTAATATCAAGCTTTTTGATTTTTACTGTATCAACTTCTAACTATACATATTGTATTGTCAAATATTTCAACCTGACGCTTTGTTTTTTCAATCGACAATATTGACGGTAAATTTATTTATTAAAAATGTAAAGGGGGTGGTTACGTTTAGTAGTTTAGAAAGGTAGGTTGAACACAGTAGTCCCTCTATTACTCTACTATCCCCGCGTAAATAGAGGGACTACTGTATAAAAGAAAAGTCCTAAAATACTTTTAAAAGTTTATTAGTAATAATAAAAGTACATGTATCAAATCCTTATACACCTAACCTGGATAAAAACAAAAAAAAACACTTCCCATTAACAGTATAAACATCAAAAATGAGTGAATAAACAATGTGAAAACAATTTACATTTTATTTCTTGCAAATATTTACAGAAAAAAAATTAAAAATAAAACGAGATGCAAAACCCCCCCTTTTTTTTACTTTTTCTAACAAGCGCATTTTATTTTTTTTGCAAAAAAGGGTTAATTTTTAACACATTTATCAGTCTCAAGGGTTCACAATATTAAAACGAAATGTGTTTATTATTTATGCGTGTTTTTTTAATTAAAAAAAAAGTGATGATGTAATCGAGAATATCTAATCGTACAGTCTCTTCAAATTTTCTTTGTTATTTGTTTTCAATTACGTTGTCTTTTTCTTTGGTTAGATTTGACAGATTAATTAATGTTTTAACAAGGAAATTTTAATTTGAATTTGGCACTTCCTCATCAAATTAAGTTTTTATTAAAATTTTTAAGTCTAGGGAATGTGATTTTGAACAAAATTATCCGATTACAACCCATAATAATCTAGATATATTACTAAAAGGGTAACAAATACATCTACAGACATATATTTTTACTTTTTTTTTATCGTTCGAAGCTTATTACATGATTATTGTGAGTTTATACGAAAAGTATACACATAGATATTTCAAATCTAAATTATTATTACGGTAAAACCCCGAATATAATTTTATTTTGATTGAAAAAAAATGATTTTATTTAATATTGAGATTCAAAATCTTTTTATTCTGAGAGTTTTACCGTATTTTTCATTGTGCGAGTATTCCAAATAAATTAAAATGATAAAGTAAAATTTTTTATTCACTCCAAATTTATTCTGTTCTCAATAAATCTAAATCCTCCTTTCTACGTTTTAACTTAAACTTACGGAATTGCTGGAAAAATTTTAATTTTCATCCGCTGGAACATTAACCACATCTAATTCAAGCGGACCAACGGCCCCTTCATCATTCTCAACCGGCAAAATCTCCAAGTGATGATTCATCGGAGGCGGATCTGAAATGGTCGCCGCAACAATCGGATTACCCCGCGCATCTAATTCCAATGCGGGATCCGCAGTTGCTTCGGCTAAATTCGTAACACTTTTCGATTTAACACATTGAAAATCAACGTGGCGACTTTTCGCCTCCTCTTTCTCCCAAGACATATGGATAAACGGGCGTTGGACGTAGTTATAAATTACTTCAGCTCGTCCTCCCGGACGTTTTTTAACTTTCTCTTTGTAAGTGGGATAACCTAAAAAAATTTATTATGTTGAAATTAAATTTAAAGTTTAATTGTTAGATGGCACCCTAGCGGATGACAGTGCTAAAGTCCCTAGATTATTAAAGTACCGCGGTTTGCCGCCATTGTGGCTCGAAAGTCAAGCGGGAAACTTAAAACTATGTCGTTCTGGTGATAAAATTACGCCAAATTTCCTTTATTTTTTTTTTCACGTGGTACTCTGAAGGCAACAAGACGGCATTATTTTTGTAAATAAGTGGTAACATGCACTGACAAGCTGTCAAACCGCCATTTTGGCTCGAATTTTTGACAGTGCGGTCTTTAGACGCACAACTACGCAGCGTTAGACCAAGAACTAGGTGTTTAGCCGTCTTAAAAGACGACCAGCTATAATGTTTGTAGATTTAACGGCTAAACCCGAAACTTTCTAGTTCTAGGTCTAGTGTTAGTTCTAGTTTTAATTGTTATTAAGCGCTAGATTGTTGAATATTTTTATTGAAGTAGTTGAAAGGTTAAATATATGCACGTATTAGAAAAGTACGTACATATATTAGATTATATAGTAGAACTAGAATCTAGTTTCTAGTGTTAGTTCTATATCAATAAAGATAGACAACAATTTTGCGTTTAATAACAATTAGAATGTTTCTAATACTATATCCAGTGTTAGTGCTAGATTTAATTGTTATTCAGCGTTAAATTGTGGATAAACTTTAAACGTCAATGTGACACAAATTCAATGTTACCAACTGTAACCAACTTCACAACAATTTGTCAAAATTAAATGTCAATTTTATGAAACGTCATGATATG